GGTTTGTTGGGCTTCCCTTTCCCTTACTCTGCTGACTTTACTAATGTCTTAATTTAAATAATGAGCTTAACTAGTGTCTTGCCCATCACACACGGGAATTGATGCCCCTGCCCAGGGACCAGCACCCAGACGGCCCTTCGTGCACCAGACGCGTCTTCAGTCCTCCCTAAGCCATCTCCTATCCTCCAGGGTAGCACACGTCTCTGGGAGGCATCTTTGCAGGTGTCCAGGCTTTACACCACAAAGTCTTTTCTGTCGGCTATCCATTTCCTAACAGGATGCTTGAACTATATTTATTTAATTTATTCTTTTCAAAAGCTGCAATAATCCTTGAACCACAATCATTGTCATCCCAGAATACTTGCTTGGGGCCTGCCTCGCCCTTACTGGCCACTGGGTACCGGGAGCTGCAGCCTCTTTCTTGAATGGCGGCTGCTTGGCCAGCAAATGAAGCCGTCCTCGAGTTGCCTGATTGCAGACACACCATGGCCTTATTGTCACTGGGGTGAAGGCAGACTCTGGGGCTTGACACAGCTCAAGCCATTAATACCTGTTTGGATCTGCCACGTTTCAGGGAACAACTGGATAGTGTTTGAGTCCATGACAATTCCTAAGCCCTGACCACAGCTGGGGGCCAACATCTGGACAGGTAGGCAGTGAGAGAACTGTCCTCCATTTTCCTTCCTCAGAGATGTGCTGCAGCCATGGTGTATCCCAAGGCACTACCAACCGCCTCCTTGCTAGGATATGTGTGGCCTCGAGTCCCAGCATGTGTGTGTATGGGGGGGGGGCTGAGTGGGTGGGTTGAAGTCACCCAATCCCTGTTGTCCCAGGCCCTGCCCTGTCCTCTAGCTCAGAAAGGAAGCCCTATGTCAGAATTTATACTGAATGTTCTTGGCAGGTTGCTGTAAGTTTTGACCCTCAGAATCTGTTGATTTTTCTTTGCATAACAATCCTAGCTGGCCTCAAATTCACTTTGTAGGACAGGCTGCCCTCAGACTCACAGAGTTTGCCTGTCTCCATGACCCTTAAGAACCACACCCAGAAAGCTTTTGTTGAAGAATTGGTTCAGTGAGGATTTAAGCCTTTTAAGGGAAGTTGCAGCAGGCTTCCAGGCCCCTGCCAGCTGGCTCTTCAGAACACCTCAGCCGCCCCTGGCCATGTGGCCTCCATGCTAATATTGCTGGCACTCAGTCTGGACAGTCTGTGTTGTCTGATTAGCCCAGTATAAACTTTACCACGTCTGCTTGCCCAGACCTTGCCCAGAGGCTGGCTCAGGGCAGCAGGAGGCTAGGTGGCTCCCTGGCAGAGGTACAGCCTTGTGCCTGCACACAAGTCCCAGCCAGGGAGTTGAGTGTTACTCTGCTCTGTCACCCGGGGTCTGGACTGGCAGATGGTCTGCCAGGAGACCCTGCCTCCATCCCCTGCTGAACAGCACAGCTGTCTGGAGCTGCCAGCAAGAGGCAGGCACCAAACTTCTAACTTCTTGAGCTGGCATTTTGGGGATACCCTGTAGGCATTCTTGCTTAGTTAGCACTGCCAGGTCTGCCTGGCTTGCTCTCGTGGCCAGCACAGAAATTCTCATTGTTCTTAGTTAGAGGTTTTGTCCTGTCAGTATCCATAGTGTCCCCCAGAGAGAAGGGCAGTCATTTCCTGAAGGGGCCAGAGCCCCAAGCACCCCCTTTGGGTCGGTCATGCAATGTATGTTAAGGAGAGAAGGCCAGGACTGCTATGCTGGGGGAAGGGGCCTTATGGCACCTGTCACTTGGGTGGTCTAAGACAGGATGCAAAGAGACTGTTGACTTCATCGTGTTAGCTGGGGCTCTAGAGCAGTGCATGTCCTGAGTGATCTGGCTTGGCCAACTGTTGTCTGGTGGTTCTGGGACCATTTTCTCTCCTCCAAGCCCCCACGTTCCTCCCAGCTCCTTGGACCTGAGGTTCCCCAGCTCTTTTTACCACCCCTAAAATCACCATTCCCACAGAGCCTGCAGGACCCCCTGTGGGTGAAGCACTCCAGCTTCACAGGTAACTACCCAAAGTGCCTTGTCCAGGATCTGCACCTGTGGGCCCAGCTTTGGGGCTGTTCTGTAAGGGCAGTCTGTCTTCACAGAGGCTCTGATGCGCTCATGCACCTTGCTGCTCAGTATGGATGGTTTAATGAGAGGGAAGTTTGGGGCCTCATGCTGGCGAGTTTATCTTCATGGGTGTTTTTTACGAGTCCTCCCTGTGTGTCTGTCTGCTGTGAGGGCAGGGAGGTGACCACGGGAAAGCTGGCACTTTGGGGTGGGTCTGAAGAGGGTCCTCGCCGGCCTGCAGGGCTTGGTGCCCATGTAGTACTGTGACCCGCATGTCCCCTTGCTCTTCTGGGGCTGCTACACTAGATGAGGACAGAGAGGCCAGCTGCAGCCTTGGTCCGTTACTTATGCTTTTTGGAGCAGACTAACACTAACTTGGAGCTGGGAAAGTGGTGATATATAGGGGCCAATGTCACTAAAATATCAGGTAGGCAGGTAGTGGGTGTGTAGTTGGGTTCCAATCCCAGGTCTAAGGGCCATTGTTTCTGGACTGTGTTTAGTGACATGGCCCTTGAGGACCCCATCTGTGGTCTTCCCACCACTTCCCATGCCGTAGAGGTCCTGTGTGGGAAGCAGATGACTCACGTAGCATTGACCTGCCTGCCCAAACTGCCTGTGCCGTGTTGCTCATGGAGGGTGATTTGGAGCCTCCTGTGTCTCAAGGCCCAGTCCACTTCAGGTCAGAGATTATAGGGCCATCTCTAGTGCCTTTCCTGGGGCCAGTGTCTAGCCTGTGCTTCCAGCCCCAGACACTACCCAAAGCCTCTTTCTCTTCAAGTCTGCGGTGCCTTCCTGTTGGGCTGTGGATACTCACTGCCGGTGTTGGACTGTGGATACTCACTGCCGGTGTTGGGAGAGGTGGGAATAGCATGGGTGTGTGTGTGGGTCATGTACAGAATGAGCTCACATGAAGTGATGTTGATTTCAGGATTACAGTGATTTGGTGCATATTAAGTGGGAATTAAAAATCCAAAGACCCTGTAATGAATAGTAAAGATGATTTATGTTGTACGAAGAACCAAACTACTGTAATTTTGTACCATAAATGCCTTTCCATCAAGTGACCAACAGCTTCTAAATAAAACCAGATGGTTTCTTGCGTATGTCTGAGGTCAGTCATAACTGTTCCTCCCTACCCTCAACTTGGGCTTAGGCTCACTGTGCTATCTCTTGGTGGTGGTCGGTCCTGGGGGCTTTCCAAGATGGACTGCAGGAGTTCAGAGCAGCAGGCCCCCAGACACAAACTTCTTGGCCCACAGGTTTGGAACAAAGACCCCAGGAGGCCCCATTGGCATCACTCCATCAGTCCCTTATAGAAGCCAGACAGCAACAGAAGTCCTGGGACTCAAAAGTAACCAGGTTTGTGTGGGGTTCCCTTCTTTCAGGCAGGGGTTTCACCATCTGCTTCAGCCTGTGAGATAGGCCCCACTATGAGCTCAGCTAGAGAGCAAAAAGCCTTTCCACTCCTGCAGAGACAGACATACCCTGGAGCAGGACTTTTAGGAAGAGGTATAAATTAGGGCTGCGTTGTCTGGTATTAGGCTGCCCTTCCTGGTTTGTGACAGGGAAGGGACCAGGCCTCCTCTGCTTCCCCTGGAGCCTCACTCTCAGCCACCCCATCACAGCAAAGCACCATTTTCAGGATACAGGACTTGCTCGGGCTTTCCCCTGCCCCGATGCATCATTCTGCCCACGTCTCTTAAATAGAATAGCCTGGGAATGCAGGGTCAAGGCCACCTGGAGGCCCCAGGAGGGTGGCCGAGAGCCCCAGGCAGCTTCTGTCTGCTGTAGGACTTGTTTGTACTCCCAAGTGCAGCAGACTTATTCTCAGAGATAAATTCTGCCAGGCAGGGGCAGACAGAAGTGTGGCAGCAAGGGGCAGCCCCGTGAGAAATGAGGCAGGATTCTGAATGGAACTGATCCGACACAGGGGTGGGACCATCTTTTCCAGGCTGCTGTTACCTGGCAGCCCTGGGAAGTGGCATGGGCTCTAGTGGGTGTCACACTTGGTTCACTCTGCTTACTGAATTACTCAAGGAACATGCACGCTGATCTGAAACTGGAGTAGAGCCAGCACTGGGGCCTGGAGGGGCCGAGGAAACCACTCGGATGCAGAGAGGAGGAGGTACCCAGGGAGATGCTTAGCCATGTAGTGCATGCGCCCAGGCTGAGGAGACTTAAGTTGAAATAGGGTTTTGGGGCCAAACCATGCAGACCCATGAGGTAGGGAGGGACAGACAGGCCTGCTGTGGCTTGTGTCCTGATCTCCTGAGCTACGTGTGCTGCCAGACTCCAGACTCCGGAGAACGGTTGTCTCAGTCTTCTAAGGAGGGGAGGGTCAGTGGATCTATGCTCGTGGGAGAGGGAAGGCTGGAACCTGGCCCTTGCTCTGCTTGCTATTGAAAACCAGAACAGAGAACAAAGCTGGTGCTTTCTGTTTTTGCTGCTCCAGAAGCAGCTTTTCAGACCTGGCTCCTTTAAGAATCCAGGGTGGGGCTGGTTGTGACCCTGGGGGCGGAGCCTTTCTGCATGCCCCTCCCCAAACACAGGCACACACTGGGAATGCAAGCAGGCTAAACTCCTACTGGGCCACTGTGGTTGGGGGTTTGGAGACCCCTAAAAGATTCCTTAGGGTGATCATGGGATACAGGTTGGAGGGTGGTGGCAGGGGTCCTACTTTGATGATTTGGTACTGTCATCTCCTAGCTCCCAGTCCCTCTGGAAATTCTGAAAGGCAGAGCTGGGGGCAGGGCACTTGCCTGAAATGGAAGAGGTCTTAGGTTTGATCCCCAGAACTGGGGGAAAAAACAAACAAACAAACAAACAAAAAGACCCTAAAAATGCACAAGGGAGGGTGCACGGAACAGACACCTGTGCACCTTCCACTAAATATTCAGATCCAAAGAAATCCCAGACAGCCTTTGCTCAGTTATACATTTTATTCTCTAATAGGTACAATACTAAAATAAACACAAATTAAAAAAAAGTTTTATTAAAACAAAACTGTACAAAAAAGCAGTATACTACATTTTAATTACAGAACAGTCTACTGTCCAAAAGGCACTAATCCAGAATAGGAGATACAATGAAACAGGACTCATCGGAACTATTTATCAATACAGTAGAGCACTTGTTTCTTTGAGCATTTACATCCAGAAACAAGGGCTTCTTGCTACAGTCATCACACACTGTTATAATCCGAGTCCTACTGGGAAGGTGCAGTATCACTTCCTAGAGCAGGCTCCACCAGGGGCCCAGAAGGGGGCTGGGGACGTGGGCAGAGGTGGGCACCCGAGCTTGCCTTGGCCTCTGGTGGGTTGGTTCTGGCCATTCCTGGCAGCCACTCTAAACCCTCTCCTGTTTAGCACCGGCAAAGTGGGTTCTGAGATGCTCCAGGTCAAGGACAGGAGGTCTGGTGACCCTGTCTGAAAAGGCGGCAGCTACCTGGAAGGGAGTCATGGCCCAGTGACAGCCAGGGGGCTGGGTGCTATGCCAGGCAGAGCCTCCCCTAGCTTCCCGGGTCTGTGAGTATTCAGTGATCTCGTCTGGGAAATTGGTTTCTAGAAGGGGAGTTTGCTTCCCAGAGACAAGTCAGAATGCCATGCCTGGCCTCAGAGTGCAAGCCACTTCCCTCCCTCAGGGCCACCTCTGGCACCTGAGGGGCACAATAGCAGTCAAGCCCTGCCCCCCTCTCTGCTGGGTGGCCAAGACACCTCTCTGAGTCCCAGCTCTATCATCACAGACTCTGGCCTGAAGAAGGATACTGCAGCTTTCCAAACAGTGTCATACACAGAGAAGACGAAGACAGGTATCTGATGTTAACAAAAATAAGTAACAAAGAAATGGGATTAAACCAAATCTCTTCTCACAGCGCCCTATACTACACCCTCCTTCTGCTTAGCAGAAAATTGTACGTACACAAAAATACAAGTACACAATTTTGTAGAACAGTCTGGTTTTAATATATTTATATATATTTATATTTATACGAGTGGCAGGTTAGTTCATTATATAGAGCTTTTTGCACTTTTGGCTCATATGCAACAAGGCTTATAAATTCAGCTTTAGCTTCCATTCAGATTTTATAGCTTTTGAACAATTTTTTCACATTTAAAGCAGCATCCAATTTGCACTAGGAGTCTGTGGTGATTACGGGGAAAGATGGGGTCAGGAGGTTATGGGGGGGTGGGACGGTATACATTCCAGTGTGTGTGGCATGTAAGGAGGATTCCATGTGGACAGAGCTTGCCATGATGACCCCTTGAGGTAGACTGAACACCTTACAGCAGACTCAGACACAGGTGTGACACCCTCAGGGACACATGGCACACAAGATGGGGACAGAGCAGAGGAGACACCAAAGGGAACACACAGACTAAGACAATGGCCAAGGCCAGGAGGGCGCTCTGCCCTCCCCCACTCACATCTGGCATCATGCTGAATACCTGCAACCTCCAGACATCTGGTCCCTGGTGTCTGGTCAAAACCCAGACGCCCGCTTTCCACTGCCCAGCTGGCCGTGCCAGCCTGCTCCCAGCCCCGCAGTGAACTACACAAGCTGCGCTCCAACAGGCAGGAGTGGCTCCCACTCCTTAGCATTCAGCTCTTGCTAGAATGTTCAAGTCCATTCAGGGCCCAGAACCCTGGCCCTCTTGATGCTGACTCAGAGCTGGCCTCCCTCTATCATGCATTTGGTTGACACTTCTCAGTTACACCGGGCCTGACAGGTGCTTGGTAGACCATGGATGCTGCATCTAGAGGCTGGCTAACAGACTCCTCAGGGGCAGCATGGTTTGCATGCTCCACGTAGCCAGCCTCATTTCCACCACCTCTTGGCCACTCACCCACAGCTTTCTTTCCCTCCTCTAGGTGAGGCAGTTTTACTGGCAAGGTCATCCATGCCTGTTACATGCAAATTCCCAGTGCTTGCACTACTCCATCTGAGCAAAAGAAACCCTGGGTTATTAACGAAAACAAGGTGCCTATATACGGACTGTTCCTTTCCCACTCTCCACCTGGGTGTGATACCAACAGAGCACGGCACAGCCACTAATCTGTCCTGTACCCCATATAAAGAAAGGCCCGGATCTAGTTCAGACTTAATTATTTTCAAAACGAAAAGCTCATCTTTTTAAATGCACACTGGGTCCTATTACAACTCTACCAATGATGGCCCTTGGCTCCCGACTCCCTGGTATCTGGGCTGTAGATGCGACCAGGGCTCCAGTACTGATGGCAAAAGGGCACAGGTGTATCAGCCATCCCTGCCTGCCAGCCCTTAGAGTGGAGATGTCCCCAAGTGCTGAGGGACAGAATTCTGCTCAGAGCCCATCTCACTCACTCCTGCTTCAGTCAGCTAGATGTAGCTAAGCAGACTCCTTAAAACTCCCTACGATCCGAGAGCACAGTTACATCAACAGAAGGAACACAGGAAACAACGACAAAGCCAGCCCTCTCCCCTTGCTTGCCCTCGTGACCATTCTGCCTGCAGAATGGCAGGGGCACTGGGTGGGTGGGGGTGCCCAACACCCACCTGAGGCTGGGTGCGTGGTGGGCAGGACAGGGCAGGGCACAGGTCAACTCTCGGACAGGTCCCAGAGGTTTGTAACTTGCTTAGGCACTTAAACATAAATGAGAATTTTATCCTGGAAGGTACTGTAGACTCAACATAACCATGGCCATGGAGGAGAGGCTGAGCCTATGATCTCAGAAGGCTGAAGGCTCTTCCAGGGGAGGCGGCTGCGACACTCTTAGCATCTTCCAGCAGAGTGTGTGTTACTTGCAGCCAGGGAAGTTATGTGGTGGCTCAGGGGCCAGTTTTCCACTGTGGTCCCTGATCAGTACCCGAAGAGGTGCAGGCTACCCTGACGCCCCATTCAGGGTCACTGTGAGAACCACTGAGAGAAGAAGGGAGCTTTCATAGTGGTGCTGTGGTAGAACCCAAGAGCAGGAAGGAGAAAGCTTGCCAGAATGGCCAGTGCTTGGAAAGAAAAAGCTCCCTCTATCTACTCCGAGAACTTTGGTTTTGTTTTTCTGGCGCCCATTTTCAGAGATGCAAGATGAGGTCCCCGCAGATTCCAATACAGTCAACGTGGGCATCAAGGCAAATGATAAGGGGATTGCTTTCCCAAAGCAGCCAAGAGCACCCACCTCCACTCAGCACACACGGCTCTCCCAGGCACCTCCCTGCCTGCAGACAGGGCCCAGAAAAAAGTCTGCAGCGTGGCTGCTGTCTGTGTTCATACAACTCTAATGCCATTTGGTTTTCTAGTCTAATGGCCTCAGCGAGCCATGGAATGGACAGACGGCCTCACACGTTTAGGCTGGGCTCTATTAGTTCCAGTAAAGCAAGATGGGAGGGGTTTCCTGGGTTCAGGAAGATACAAAAACAAGGTTGGAGAGATTCGACCTGGAAGCACTGGGAAGCTAAACCCTGGAGGGAGCAATGAACCTTCAAAGTCCCTGGGACCTGCCTCTGTCTCAAGCCCTGGGTAGGCGACAGGCACTGATTTTACTCCAAAATGTCCATGGCACCTTTGGCCACCAACAGAGATGCAAAATCTTGATCATACCAAAATGAAAGGCACACATACTCTTGTTCTCCAAATCAAGGTGTTTCAGGGCAGAGTGAGGTCAATGTTAAGACCACACTGGTCAGCTAGTGTAACAAGGTGTCGGCAGCCCCAGGAGACAGCCTGCTGGGTCCTTCAGCCTTGTTCAACTACTTTTCATTCTTGGGCTTTAAGGCTACCCATGATGTGACAAGAGATCAGAAGAGGACAGTGACCCAGCCAACTCTTGGAGAATCTAATTTTGTGAGAAAGAGCTAGAAAAGAAGGTGGAGAGAGGAGCATAGTAGGTCAGCTTGAAGATGTCCCCTGTTTGGTGTCTGACCAATAGTCACTGAGCCTACACGTGGCCCTGAGGCAGCTTGCTCTATTCCTGGATTCTGGATATTAAGAAGTTCTTATTCTAGGCTTCAATTTTGGTGTCCTCAGGCATCTACTTATGGGCAGTCAGTGTTGGTGAGGAGCCAAGGCCATGGCAGGGTGGCTCTAACACCAGAACACCAGAACCTTGGATTCCACGATTCCTTAACTCCCTTTCTGATTGTGGTAGAGGGACAGCGTGGTTGGTGGAAGGGTGCAGATAACATCAGGGAGTCCTAGTTGAATGCCAATTCTGTTCCCCCAAATGCCCACAGGTAATCCTATTGTTGTGCTGCTATGCAGGACTTAGCGTAAAGATCACAAAATTAGCTCAATGAGTGACTTTAGAATTGAATTAGAAGGCAGTGAAACTGAAAGCTAACAGAGATGGCTATGGCTCAGCAGCTGGGAAAGTAAGACAGGGCTAAAGTCCACTGTCTCAGCAAGACCCACAGGTCTCAGGGATCACACCTCTGACCTGCAGGCTGGGAGGAAGGGTTACAAGGTGACTTTTACAGAATGGTCACTCTTCCACGACCACTGGATACCTGCAGTGCATTTCACTGGAGGTTTTTGGGAGGAATCACACCAAAGCATCTCCAGAAATACTCTCTTCCTCACCTCTTTGTGTGTGCTGAGGGAAGAGCACTCTCTAGAACCTTCTAGGCAAGTACTTGACCTCAGCCATTCCCCACAGCAGAGCTAAAGCCAGCATCTTGGTTGACTAGTGTTCTGGGTGAGAGGGGACATTCTGTAGAAAGGGCGGAGACGCGCATCAAACCCGCAGTGTCCAGCCTGAAAAAGGACATGGCTCCTGGACTCCAGCTAATCTCACCTGAGTCTGGAGCCCCACAGGCAGGAGAGAGCTTATAAAAGGCCACTTAGCATGGGTCGATGCTGGCACATTCCTGTGGACCCTTCTGATCCTCTAACTGAATCCAGGCTCCTGCAAAGGATGGCTAGAAAGAAAGAAAAAAGTCCAAACTAAGCATCGACTGGAGGACTAGCGAGTGCCTACAGTTCCTAGCTGTGAGGACACCACAGGTTATGAGGACTGCATGATGCCTGCTGGAGGCACAGGTGCACGAAGGAGAGCAGTGGGGGACAGAAAGCATGGCTTCAGAAGACAGCAGAACGGCACTAGGAGGCACGCTAGCTGAACAAGTCTGATATGAGCAAGTAGGTGTGCAGACACACCCTCCTGCTCCTGGGGCCCGAGCCCACACATTCCTGTGTGAGGTCAACTGGTCCCTGTTCTTGTCACATTGTCTATTCTGGGCCTCAGGGTCCCATAAGGAAACCAATACTCAACTCTGTAAACTTCCGTGTGGCAGATACTCCCCTATGGTCATGGCAGTGGAGATAATCAAGTTTCCAAGGAAAAGCCTCAAAATCCCAGAAAGTCCAGTAAAGGAAGAGGTATCCCCAAAGGGAGGCTCTCCAGCCACCAGCAAGAGGATGGGGCCCAGAGGCTCTGCCAGAGCTGTCTCAGTTTCCAGCCAAAGTAGAACAGGTTCAAACTGGACAAGAGGTTTCAGAGAATTTGGATGTCAGGTGCAGCAGTAAGCAATCCAATGTGGACCTGAAATGATTCCCAATCCTCTCTCACTTGGGTGGGACACGAATCCTATGTTATTATTTTGGTTTACTAAGCTGCTGTTCTAAATGTTCTTGGGAGCATTATTGCTCAAAGGGAACAAGGATGGGTGTCCTGCTATTCTCAATCACATAAAGGACAGAAATCCTCTTAATTATGACCATGCCAATCTACAGCCTGCTAAAACAGCTAATTACATGTCAGGAGGACACTCAGTCATTCGGAACAATTGCCATTATACTTTTATATATTCATTCTATGCCACCCCCCCTCAATTACCATGGTTACAATTTGAAAAAAAGATCCAGCCAAACCTTCATTTGATCACAGTACACCATCATGAATTTGCAAGTTAATTATGGCTGTATGGAGCCAGTCCTTATTAAAAGAGAGAAGACGGACACGGAGTCAGGGGAGCTGGCCTCTTGGGTGTTCTAAGTGGGGCACCAAGTTCCTCAGCAGCAGTGCTCGGAGCTGTAAGCCTGAAGACTGGCCACAGAAAGGGCTTGTCAGCCAAGGATGACAGCAAAGTTCCCTGCGGCTAACCAGGGCTAGAGTTGGGGGGGGGGGGGGGGGCGCAGGAGGGGCTCCACCAGAGGAAGAAGCCTACCACATCTCACCCGAATGGACCCAATAGACTCAGTTCTGACTGCAAGTCAACAATGATAAAGCAGCTTGGGGACATACATCTGGAATCTCAAGGCAACCACCCTGGTGATGCGATGATAGTGACAGCTGACCCTTCCCTCAGTCTCATCTTCTCTTGGTTAGAGAAGAAAACCAGTTGTGGAGGTCTGGGTGGCTCAGGTTTCTGATTTTGTTTTCTTACCCCCCCCCCCCCACCAAGCTAGCATAATGAAGTAGCTACATAAACCTCTCAATTTCCAATCTTGCAGCTTCTAACAGTCATAGATGGGCACAAGGCTGCATTTCCGAGCATCTGTCAGTCCTGTAAGCTGTCAGGAGGAGCAGTGTCTCCCCTTCAGTTTAGAAACAAATGGCTTTGAGAAAAAGCCTTCTGGAACACACTCTGGAAGAGTTGAAGCCAGAACACTGGTCTGAGATGTGGCGGGTGTCAAAGCCTTCCCTGCTGCCTTTGTACGTCAGTTCTCTGGCGCAGTAAGGAAATCGTTCTTAAGTGACGGGAGACCATGCAGGACAGGCGCCTGTTCTGAGCACATGCTACTATGACAGCCTTAGGAAGTGGCTGGCCATCCATGGTTGCCTCCCTACAAATCCGCACAGTTGTCCGGGTGCTCACTGTTACAGGTACAACACACTACAGAGATAAATGATAAAGGGTCTTTGGAGCGTACAGCTCAGTTGGTTAAATTCAGTATGGGTGACAACCGGTGGCCCAATCCTGAGTAAGCATACTTGCACACACACGACAGACGCGTGCACGCACATACAGAGGAATCCTGTGTGTGTGTGTGTGTGATTTTGCCCTGGCCCCAGTGTATCCCCACCCAACTCCCACGCAAACACACGCACAGCAGAACTGGCCGATGTGTCCAGCCTTCACTTGGGAAATCTTAAAAACTAAGTTTGGCTCAGTAAAGCTGTAAGTGGATCTGGCTGGTCTCAGTACAGCCTCAGGGAACACAGTAGTAAAACATAGCTGATAATCATAGTAACAGGGTGACATCACAGAGATGGACAGAGACTGATGCACTGAGTGCAGGACCACTGACCACAAGAAAAGTTATTGCCTAAGAACTTGGTGAGGCTCACGGAAAAAGTTCAGGCTGCTGTTTTCTGAACAAGAGAGGAAAAACAGTTTTACAGCAGAGCTGAGTTAAATGGGAATGTCGCTTTTAATCCCAGCACTCCAGAGGCAGAGGTTTCTGAGTCTGAGTTCAAGGCCAGCCTCGTCTACAGAGTGAGTTCCAGGACAACAGGGCTACACAGAGAAACCCTGTCTCAAAAACAAACAAACAAAAGAGTGGGGTGTGGGGTATGGTTCTGCTTCTAACCAAATCCTTTTTGGGACCAGGGAGAGTAAGGATTTGAAAAGAACACTTTTAGAACAGGCTAGAGAAGTCATTGTGGAAAGGGGGATTACTCTCAGAGTGTAGACAAAGGCTTGGCAGAGTTTTAGCTACCCAAAACAGAAAGGAGGGTCCAAGTTCAGAGGAGAGAAAGCATCCCACGACATCAGCTCAAGACAGATGCAGTGCTGAAACACAGCACGGAAGGAAGAGAATCCATGCAGAGTTGCAAAGAGAGATGGGAGCGTCCTGATGGACTAGGGTCTGCTATCACTGGTGCCTGACTGCTATTCAAGAAGAGTTTAAAGCAAGAATTCCTAAAGCTAGAGAGCTGAGACAACTATCAGAACTCTCCGTGTGCTATCCCCGTGAGGTAAAAATAAATGCAGGGATCTGCTCCTAAAAAAAACCAAACCAAACCAAAACAAAACAAAAACAAACAGAAACACATACACACTCAGAACACGTATGGCTGAAAGATAAACCTCCCAGGAACTAGAGCTCTGGAGTGGAATACAATAGTCAAAACAGGCTTCTACCTCACTCTCACTCATGTCTTCCTAAGGTCACCTACTGAGCTGGAATGAAAGGAACCAAGGTACCCTCCTCCTGTAGCCTGCCTTATGTGGTATTCAACACAAACTTGGCTGCTGTACAGTCGTGTCTCCGGGTTCTGAGGGCACTGCATAGTCACACACAGGAGAGCACTGTATTGCCCTTCCTGGCTCCTCAGGTGTTGGCTGTGATTGTCTTCAGAAAGGCAGGAACATCTTAAGATGGTCCTTTGTTAACAGGTCATCATGTAAGGTACTATAAGGTGGGAAGTTGCCTTCCTGTCCAGCAACAGTAACCCAAAGTATTTGAAAAGCCTATGAATGTCTGCTCCCCTCCCTTGTCCCCTTTAGCATCTTTATTGGTCAGGAAGGCACAAGTCCTGAAAGAGACCTCTAGGCCCACAAGAAGTACAGAAGGAGGTGAGAGCAGAGACCGGCAAGCAAGGAGAACATAGGATGAGTCTAGGAGCCCAGCTCTTTTCCTTTCAGCACAGGAATTTAAGTCTCTAATTTAATACCACACCTGGAAAAGCTTAAGGAAAGATTAACCATCCAAAGAAAGGAGAATGAATGTGGCAGGTCTGAGGTCATTCCAAGAACTCAGGGACCAGGACACAAAAGTAGAATCTGACCTGGTGACCCCCAGAAAACTACCTGATGGTAGATTTGAACCTTGATCCCCAAGAAGCAAATTCCTACTGTGGGTCAGATAGCACAGGTTCTGTGTAAGGCTGTGAGTCTGTGGGCATGCGGCAGCTTCTCCGGCAGGACTAGTGACAGGCCTTCTAGTTAGCTCAGCAGGGTTGGCCTCTGTGGCAGCTGCGCTCTTCCAGGGTCACCACACTGAGACACAGAGCTGGCACTGCCTGTACCAGCCATGGCTCAGTACCCTCTGCTGCATTGCTCTCTCTCAAAGGAAGGTCTTAGGACAACAGAACATTTTGCTTTTCTGTTGCAGCCAGAGTTCCCTTAGAAACTGGAGTCGTCTTAACAGTCAGAGTCTGTTCCTTCAAAAAGGCAAGCGAGAACAAATGACAAGAGCAATGGCACCACAAAGATGTCAATTATAATAATCTCATGGTAAATCATGGATGTGGCTTGTCAGAAAAATATGGTCCCCCATCTCCTGTTCTTTCTGATTCAACTGAGAATAAGCCGATAAAAGTCGACCAAAATTGAAAGATACAATAGGTATATTTCTTCTTAGTAAACAAAAAGAAAGACAATGCAATCTCCTAAGTGAAATTAAAAAAACAAACAAACACACAAATAAACCATGGAAGATTCTAAGTAGGTGTGGGGGGCTTGTTCCTGAGAATAAGAAATGCTACTCTTAAATTTGTGGGTTCAAGTACTACAGTAAGAAGATGGCTCCATTTTACTTCAGTTTTTGGAGCTGGGAAAAATGCAATTTCCCCCTGAAATCCATGGACAGAAGCAGGACCAGGCCCTACCTAGCACCCTTCAAAGTCACGGACGTGGGTTAGGTGGGGTAGCATCCTCAGGCCCCTCAAAGAGGACTCCTCACATTTGTGTAACCAAGACTTACACCTAAAGGGTAATCCAGTCAGAGTGTGCCCTGGTAAGACCAGCTAAATGCTGTGGATACTGAGTATGCAGCCAGTGAGAAGGGGAAAATGAGGGTCCGTGTGCCCTCTTCTCTCAACAGCTTTAAAGTTAAACACATTTGGTGAGGAAGGAGGAGGTAAGGAGACAGTCCCTACTTTCTATCTTAGAAATTGGTTCAGATAATGGAAAAAAAGACGGAACCCTGCTTAATGGCCCACTCCACATTGCCCTCCAAACGAGGCTTCGTCAGACACACAAAGGAGAGATTGGATGAGGCAGAAAACACTTAGCCTCTCTCAGACACACACTGTGCCAACACACTGAAGACTGCTTCTTCTTACCCACAGTGACAGTATGTCATTTAATCAGGGTGCCAGGGTCATTTTCATACAAGGCCAGCAGATGTAATTTCCTCTGATGCACGGATAGTTCATCATTTTGCTACTGGATGACAAGGGGATCACAGGGTGACTTTATAACGCAAGTTCACTGTTTGGTATTTTGAGTTCTCAAAATGAAAAAAAGATTTATCAAATATAAATATCTTTAAAAAGTAACAAAAGTGCTACATATGTGATCAAGGAAAAAATTCCATTAGTTACTGCCGCTTAAAGTAGATTAAACTACAAATATTACCACATCCATTATCAATATGGCTTCCAATTATTAAATAAATTGCCTGTAGCAATATAGCTTTCACACCTCTACAAGGACAGAGTAAAGGGAACAAAGCAGGCACATCCTGCTATGTCCCACACACTCACGACGTAAGTGGTAAATGACCCCTGCTCCTTCTGCCCCTCGCTTGGCAAGGATCTGCATCTGTGACAGTCGAGGCGGCAGTCTTCAATACAGTCCTAGCAGCTCTGGGTAGGCTTCAGGTGATGGGTACAAAGCCTGACCTTTCACCCACGTTTGACCTCACCTCTATCCTTAGAGACCTTTTTGGTAGTAGGGAGGGGGCACCAAGAGGAGGCAAAGCGACTTGCACGGTAGGTGTCTCCAGCACTTTCCCAGGCAGGTGCCGGCACCGTGCTGTGGAATGTATAGAGGCTCTGAGAACTGGGCTTAGCAGCCATCCGACATTCAGCTCATGCTTCCCCTACTGCTCTCAAGCTGGGTTTTGCTTTTCAGAACTTGGTTTTTTGTCTTTTTTTGTTTTAGGATCATGGTCCCAAAGGCAGAAGGCAGTATGTTATCTACTAAGTCACACAGCTTGTGAGAGGAAAGGATGTCTGTGTTGGGCACGTTAACATTAACCACGATCTGAGCTGGGGGTTCCAGTGACACTCTTAGCACAGCACCCAAAGGAGGACAGTCTAGCCACGCTGTGACTAGGAGGCACGGCTTATTGCGGCTGAGTCAGTGAATCTCCGGCCGAGGCGGGGCTCTAGTGTTCCTTGCGCTCCATGGATACTTCCCGGACGGTGTCTGTTGGTCCTGTGCCGCTACCTCAGCTTGCATCCTGTCAGTCTTGGGGCAGGAACAGGGTACAGCCTAGTGTTACATGAATCTAAAGGTACTCAAGATTTTACACAGACCCTAATATTTGAGAACTGAGGGTTATCTAAATACCTGGAAGCACTTTCTTGGAATGCTAAGACGGAGCAGCGAGATTTTTTAGCCTCAGGGGCTGGCTGGGAGAGGGATGTCTGGTTGGTTGGTTATTACTTACTGGGATTTTAATACTGAGAGAGTATATGCAAAGGCTGAGGGCACCATGCCATCTTCACAGAACAAGACCCTAACGGCTACCTGACATACAAGAAACTGTAAGTTATACCGTAAGAACACATGGTAAGGACCGAGGAAAGTCTGCTAAGGTGCTACGTCTAAACTACGTTAACTGTGTGATCCTCCCTGATCAGTCATCATCCAGGGCCTCTGTCTTGATCTCATTGGCTCCCTGCCGGGCCAATGCCAAGATAGTGTGGTTGACGGCTGCCATCTCCACAGCTAGTGAGATGGGATCTTGGTGGTCACTATGGCTCGTGCTGTCATCCTAGATGTGTAGAAATAAGAAATGAATGTTATTCGTTGGCTGGTAACAATTCTCAAGCTCACAAAAAGGCATGCAGGGCCGTGCAGGGGACAGAGCATCTGTGGGGGAAATTGCCGAGTGCATCTCAAGGTGGAGTGAACTGTATTTAAGTAGACACTGAATGGACATGGGTCCAGAGACTGCCAATGTTTTTGTGACTCAACAAATAAAAAGGATGAAAATTATATGTTTTGTTCTTTCTTCACTGGGAATTTATTTATTCTACCAAAAGCTTGCTAGTGGTGATTAGACCTGAAGTGATTAAAATAAACTAGTAATTTGGGTTTTTCTGTTTGCCACAGATACAGCAGTAACCACTGAGTCCAAACTAGAACTCTCCTAAATCCACAAAGTTCTTAAGTGGCTACTGGAATCCATGGTGTGTCACCGCTGAGACAAGTAAAGAAGATTTAGAAGTACAGGCGCTTACACCTTACAAGTCAGGGAGGGGCCTCAGTTACACACGTTACACAGTCTTGTTAGAGCCGAGTGAAGCTCTCCACCCTCTAGGCGCCACACATTAAATAGGAAAGCTTCTGACAGGCTTAGTGGCACATGTTTGTCACCCCAGCACATCCAGGATGAGGCAGGAGACTGACTGCAAGTTCCAAAAGCAAAGCAAACCAAACCCAGACAACAGAGGAATGACACTGTGAAGGAAGCTGTCCTTCCAGGGTGTGTGCTGGGCACTGGAGGCACTATCACAGAGAAGGGGTGTTTCTCACCTGTCACATCTTCAGGGGACTCTGTACCAAAGAGCTTTGGAAAGGGTAAGCCCCTTGGGGGTAAAAGCATAGGATGTGCTGCCCCCAGGGCATCTGAAAAAAAAGATGGAAATGATCCATCTATGTGGGTCAGCTGAAAATAACAGGGATGTTCCTGAGAAAGATACAGAGCACTCTCCTGAGTCAAGGGTGGTGCCGTGCTTGGAGAACCGACTCTCTGGGATTGATAATCTTCTGGGACATATCAGTGCTACTATTTTCTTCTGGCTTTTTGACATCAGCCTTTAGGACTTAGGAAGGAATATGCAGAGAATCACATGCCCCTCTGGGGAGTATTGGAGTACACAGAGGTAATGAAATAACCAAGAAAATGAAGAGCACGGCATACTGAGGGACAGAGAAGCCACCAGAAGAAAGAGCAAACGCTTTCTTGCCAGAGTCTAGGGAAGGGATTATGTGTGTATCCTTTGAATTTCCCAAATGGAAGTGAAACTTACATCCTATAAAAATTTTAATGAAATCTGTCAACGTGTTTGTGGGTAGAGGGGAATGACCCCAACTGTACTTGTTGACTTATTCCATGCAGTGGCTACAGTTAAATACACATTCCCCAAGCAATGCAGGAAACACCAGGATGGGATGAGAAGACATGCAGGTATTGCCCATTTATGACAAGATGAGTGTGCCAATATCCAGAGAGACTCTGGTTAACCACTCCTCTGAGCATGAGGGCTCCCACTGCAATGGGGCTGGAGTGGGCGGGGCCTTATGTTGCACCCTGCATGGTCCATATGTAGGCACCGTCACCGCTGCCCGCGTGCCCCTAAGTGCTTCTCAAACACTGTGTGTGTGGTGAGTGGTAACTTGCTTGTTTGGATCAGATCCTCCTCTCTTCTTCTACCTTCTCTGCTTCTCTGCCTCCCTCTGAACTTCTTCCCTCCTCCTCCTCCCCATTGCGTGCTTGCCAAGTGTCCTGTTGTGTGACAATAAACCCATAGGGTGGATAGAGATTACTCACAGATTTAACAGGACAACAGAATCTTCCCACACGAAAATCTAACTAGACACATGAGCAAAGTGGAGGGACACCCGCTGCTCCCCCACCTCCCCGCACAACCACACCCACGGACTTGAGTCGCCACACTGGCCCACCACTCTGTAACCCGAAGCCACCGCTCAGCCACCCACCTGCTCGGAGTAGTCGTTCCCGTCCACGTCATCACTGTTGGAATGGCCTCCTGGACTCTGTACATCTATCCCATGACTCTCCAGGATTGCTGCTTCTTCGAAAAAAGCAAATAGATCCCTAAATTATCTGCTGCCTCATCACAGTGGCTGAACCATGTTTTTTTATGGCAAGGAAGTCAGAACATAGTCAATCTGTTTCTAATCATCTGCAAATGGGAAAAATTCAACTCTGTGTAGCTCAGGGTAGAGGCCCAGCTTCTACACACTACCTACCTGGACTGGTGGGCACTTCATAAAACTTACTAAGTCAATAGCTGTCCTGGTGGGGCTGTATAGAGCAAATGGAAATTGGCATGACCAGTAAGAAGTATGATTCACAAAGAAATGCAATCATACTTCTTGTGGTGCTGGGGATCAAACCCATGTCCTTTCTGTCACTGTGCTATCCTAACCCCTGGAAACAACTGCAGAAGCTTAAATGAACCTTTTACTCCTAACCCATCCACTCACGAGTTTTGAATAGTACAAAAATCCCGTCTTATCTTCTTTTTTAGTTGAATGCACATTTTCTCTTCAGGCACTTGACATGGTCTTTTCTATCCTACAGCTTTATTAAGTTATTGTTGGCCAGTGGAAACTTTATTTATGGTATACACACAGTGTATAGCAGTAAGTAGACTGTGACCTGACTAAACCCAATGTTAGATTTCTGAAATGCCCTTTATTGCTACTTTTGCTGCTTGTCTGCTGAATCTCTTCCATTCCAGCAGATGTTTCTCAATGTCGAGGTCACAGTCGCAGCAGTAACCAGAAGGCTGGGAGCATCACAATTCCTCTCTTAAAACCCCACAGAGGCCGGGTGGTGGTGGCACACACCTTTAATCCCAGCACTCGGGAGGCAGAGGCAGGCGGATCTCTGTGAGTTTGAGGCCAGCCTGGTCTACAGAGAGAGTTCCAGGACTGCCTCCAAAACAATACAGAGAAACCCTGTCTCAAAAAACAAAAACAAAAACAACAAAAAGACCCACAGAAATCCTTAATATGAGCCACACGAGTAATCCATTGCTCAGGGGTTAATTCTACAATCTAGAACACTAAGAACAATCAGCTTTATAAGTAACAAAGTTGTTATTAAAGTATAAATAAGATAGTTCAGGTAACATTGACCTTGCTATTAAAAATGCAACGAAGAAAAGCAATGGTGTTTCTAGTCGTAACTAAGTATTGCGATCACTTAGATCAGCAGCTCATAAACTGGCCACTCTTATCTCATTTCTAAACTTCTCATGAGAGAAGGTAATCTCTCTGATACATTACCGATATTGGCTCTCCTCTTGATCTCCTTCCGTCTATTAGCAAACCAATTATAGACTTTTAGAGAGGTAACTCGTTCCAGGTCGGACAGCTTTTTGCCTGTGAATGCATGCAAAAAAAATTCAGATAATCTGTATCTTACATCCAAGACTCAACTGTTCTCAAGAAATATTTCTCTGCTAAAAGTTGCTTTTGATTCTACTTATTGCCAAAAAAACAGATGGTATGGAATCTTTTTTAGCATAGTACTAAGAGCCCATTAAAATTATTACTGCATCAACAAACACATAAATGAATATACAGCTAGCCACAACTCAGGGAGACATACTCAATATTAAAATAAATCCCACAAAGTCTGTTTACTAGGGTTCCAGATCAAATCATAGTTCCCAGATTAGTACCACGGAGGCGTCATTTAATTAGCATCATTGAGAGGGATGCTATACTTTATGGAAGTGTACAGATAACATAAAATGACTTATCTTAGTTTCCTGGTATCTTAAGGAGATACAATGCAACAATGCTGCATTGACGGCAAATGGCTATGTAACTATCCGCCATTGTGATTGTTCTGGGACACTTACTGTCTTCTCAGCCATCACAGTTGATTCTTATGGAGATACCATCTGCACTGTCCCCTGCTCTCCTGTCCTCTTGTTTTCAGCTTTAAATCTGTATGTGCTTTCCACAGGGAGCAAATCCCTGCACTGAGACTGTGGGCCTGTGCACCCAAGGTACAGACTCCTCCCACCTGAGGGTAGAGCCGAGTGTGTAGGGTAGATATCACCAGAGGTTGGCTTTCTAAAGGAGACTAATCCCTCTTCACTGTATAAAACTCTGATATTCACAGTCTTTAAGTCATCAAAATAAGTGGCCATGCAGAAACTAGCTGCTTGTGTCAAGTCTCTGAAGTACACAGGGCATAAGATGCGTAGGAAGTACCACAGTGGTGCAGACCCCACGGAGACTTCAAAAGGGAACCACCATGTTCTCTTAGCCAGGCAGAAGTCATCCCAATGTGGGAAGCAGACAGAAGCCAACCCCCAAAAGCTGGCCCACAAAGAAATACAAATTGTGCAGTTTTATAGCAACTGTGAAAAAATGGATTTACATTCTTTTATTAACAAAATTTGCTTTAATTTTCACACTTTACCATTATTTCAGAATTGATGTTTATGCTAAATTTTGGAAAAACAAATCCATAATTTAAAAAGCCTTTCAAGGTCTCAAGTGTCACGGAGAGTCATTGTGCGTGAGCACCTCAGTCATGTCACATTAACATCAGGAGTACTATTTGGAGAACACTGGCTGGGACCTGCATTAGGAGGGCGAGTGTCCAGACCACTGAGTGTAAATGAGCCTTGCCCTCTGAGCGCACCTCCTTACCTGGCTTCTGTATGACTGCATTGCAAGCGTTGGCAATCTCTTCTCTCTTTGCTTCATCTGGGTATTGATTCTCATTGAAGTAACTGCAGGGGCAACCAACAAAGACACATTTTACTTTAAAATGTACCCAATTAAAAGGTCTTCTCTAAGATGTGATTTGGTATAGTCCAGGATGTCCACGAGAACTTCCTGGAAGAAGCCAATGTAAGGCCCATTTACCTTTTACTTACCTGTACTTACTGTATGTGACTAGTGGCTGCAGGCAGGCTGCTGTGCCTCTAAGATACTTTTTTTTTTTAATGAATCCACCTGGTGATGATCATCTTACCTGAATTAAGCTAGTCTTAGAAACATAATATTAAGCTTATTTTCATGAGTGATTCCTAGATTTTATATAGACATGTAAAACTGTGGATGTGTGTATGACATAACCTCAGAAGTAAAACTAATCAGGAAGCAAGAGGAATAAGGGAGGGGAAAGCTAAGAGGAGGGAGGGTAGGGAGATAAGGGTATAAACAATATCCAATATATACATGCAGGGAAACGTTAACAAGTTATTTTGGTGTGCATGACTGACTAAAGTCACAGAGCAACAAGAGTCATGCTACTAAAGCACCGGTATCAACACAGTTTTTTCTCTTTTGGTCATTTTTTTTATAGTAGCAAAAACTGGAAATTACCCAATTATCCACAAACAAGGGATGGCAGAACAAATTATGGGGTATCTATATTTATACACAACTATTTTAAAACAACTAGGAAGGAAATAAGTTAGCACTCTGTCCACTGACTTGAATGGATGTTTATAGCATATTCCTAAGTGAGAAAAACAATCTGCAAAATAATGTGCAAGCAAAAACGCCAAGAATTAGAAGATTCCTGTCTGCATGTGTGCTGGTTCACATGGGTAAAAGAGAATAATATACATCAGGCTGAGAACATGGACCGCTCACTGCTGAAGAAGGGGCTTAGTGGGATACTGACATATTTTGTTTTTGTACACTAGTAAGTAGATATCACTTTGGTTCAATAGTATTTAACATATGAGGCTTGTTAAATCTGTTGTTAGATCAAGGAGACGCATAAAAGGTAGATGGGAACAGAATGCTATTACTAGTGCTACTTTTTCTGACATCTATGAACTTAAAGAAAAAGAGAACTTTCAAACCTTGAACCTGGAAAGTGACAATCAGGCAATGACCTTCATTTGGATTTTAGTACATTTCTTCAGGGCCACCCCTTTCCTAAAAATCAGCCTCTCAGCAATGGCAGAAAGACCGCTCATGGCACAGATGACTCAGAGGCCCCTCTCCGCTAAGAGCGCCAATGTGATCCCTGCTGCCTTCTCCCTTGAGGTCTCTACATGGAAGGCACACCTTCACTTCAGTCTGGGTAAAGCTGCTGCCTTGCTTCTCCATCTTCTATAGGCCTCCCAACCGTATGCTCCCACTCTTGTCTACATGGTTCCTTGCTGTTTCTCTCAGTATAAGCATCTCCTCCTGCATGGTCCTCGGAGTAACAGAGTTCACTCTAAGATTCTTCCAAGCCACCATGCTCATAGCTGCTCCATGTCCATTCGGTCTTGGCCTCTGTATTTATTAAACTAACTTCTGGTTAGGCCATGGCAGCAGCAATATAGCTTCACCTGGAGCAGACTCAGTAACCAGATCTGAAATGTCACCCAACTCATTTACCCCCCCAATTCACCAAGTAGATATGAAGTACCTAACATGTGCTTGGCACTGTGGGTAAAGAATTGGTTTCTGGCATCAAGGAGCTCACAATCTACTTGGTGTGTGTGTGTGTGTGTGTGTGTGTGTGTGTGTGTGTGTGTGTACTTGTTGTGAAAGGCCATAGGATTTGTGGACAGTTTGGTATGCTCACAGTCGTGGGAGGAATCTGCAAAGATGTCACAGGCAAGTCTGAACTAGGTCTTGAGGACTGGCACTGTCAGGCAGAGATGGCAGATGAGGCCATGAGAACCCTGGACACCGAGAGGAGGATGGTGTGTTAAGTAAGAGCAAGGGCTTAGTAGGATGACGCGATGACATCAGTGTTAGTGACTATCACTTCTTCAGAGAGAGAAGGGGCAAGATTGCAATGCACTTGTCTGTCCTCTGAAGATGAAGGGCCATCCACTGAAATCGGCGGAGAGTCTGAAAGGTTTTCATACAACAGAAATGTAATGCTACCTGTACTTTATAGAAAGATAACATCTTCGAACATAATGCTCTGAATTCTATCTCCATGACCTTAAATTCTGAATTCTAACTCCATGAGCTTAAATTTTGAATTCTCTAGGCAACTTCATACACATCTACCTCTCTTCAAACTTTATTCTTCATCTTCTCAGCAATGCTAATCCTGTAACTGACTCCCTTCCCCTAAGTAAAAAATAAACGTCTATTGCGTCTAGCCCCATCCCTTACTTCTTGCTTGAATGACAGACAAGTGAAACTTGTCTGAGAGGAACCAGCACTGATGAGTTTTTCTGTTCTACGTCCCTGCCCTGCCAATCTCCCACGCTGCAGACAGCACCTTCCACTTTTATTCCATCCTTCTCAGAGTGCCAAGTGTGCCTGAACACCACAAAACAGAGCCATTTGGTTTCCTTCCTCTGCAATCTGAACTGGCCCCTTTGTTTCTGACGGGAATTCTTTCATACTTCCCTCCTCTGAAAACTTGTCACTCTGATGTCTCAAGCCCTCAAAGCCACCACTGTCACTCTTTCTGCAGATGACCTTGCCTTCATGGTTACCGGTTTGCTAAATTCCTTAGCTTCTGAACTGCTAAACTTCTCCAGGCCATTATTCATTCTTTTCTCGTAGTTGAGAAAACATAAATCATCCTCCTTTTCAAGGTCAACTTCTCTACTTGTCCTTGATTGTATTCCCTCTCCTTTTCATTTTCTCAAATTCTTTCTTGCATTTCTCTGCTCTTTTCCATACCAATGTAAAGCTCTTATTCCACTGATTTTATCATGCACATTTCTTCATTATTGTGATCTTTGAAATCAGGACACTGGTAAAATCTTGAAATTAAATGGCAGTGTTTTGCTTCTTTCTCTCTCACTGGCGTGAACAATAAGGTGTGCCTTACAATCAAGGCTTTGTCAGACTGGATGGAATACAGTGGCTTCTAAGACCTAAGGTCCCATCTAAGTGACAACTCTATGGCCAGTATACCTTATAATCTTTTGGCCAAATGGCCTGAAAGCCCATGACCGATTGGTATTCTTGGCACATTACTTAGGTTACATCAGTGTCTTGTTCAAACGTTTTCAAAGGTTTACTATGGAGGCTCAGGACACACACACACACACACCCACACACTCCTGTGCTGTGGGCTGCCATATAAGCAAGAAAGAGAGTAAGCCTGAGCCTGTCTCCTGCCAGGACAACTGCGTTTTGCCTTCCTCCGATGCCAATCTGGTCTAAGAAATGTGTTTTCTTTCATCACCGAGTCCTACAGGAGCTCATCTATTCCTTCTCAAAAAGTACCTGAAGCTGAGGTGCAGGTCAGACTCCACCTCAGCTGTCTCACAGATGCTGGGGTCATAGGTGTGTACAGTTAAGCCCTACGCAGACCATGCACAGCTGTCAGAGGCCTTTATCTCTGCTGAGCAAGAATGATGTGTAAAGCAGGAAATGAAATGCTGGTGACATGGCTGGCTTCCACAATCTGCTTCACAGAATTCTCTGTAGGGTTTTCGAAACAAATGGGCACCATTCTTACAATAAAAGGACCTTTGGGACACTCTGAAATAATTAAGAATTAGTTTGATGATTCAAACAATTCTGTCCACAATTTATGCTCTAAAAGTGAGCTGGGATCAGGTAGAGGGCATTACATTAGTGTTGTGACTGCAGTGACTAACAGACATAAGCCATACTGGGTTAGAAGCTAAATTACATTTTTCAGTTATCCATGGCATAATGTTTTCTATTAATTCAGAGTTCGTTTTTACTCGGTATTTGTAGGGTTTAACTGCATACATTGAAGATCAGAGTAAAGAAGACCCCAGTAACTTCTCTAAAATCAAGATCTCAGGAAAAGGAGAATTTAGTCATATAATTTAAGCCTTATTTTTTTTAAGTACTCTTTTTTCCCTCTATTAAAAACCGTTGTAGTTTTTTAAATCATGTGTCTGAATGTTTGCCCTTCATATATGTCTGTGCACCACATATGTGTAGTCCCTACAGAGGTCAGAAGAGGGTGATGGGTCCCCTGGAACTGGAGTTACAGATGGTTGTGAGCCACCATGTGGGGGTTGGAAATTGAGCCTGGGTCTCCTGGAAGAGCAGTCAGTGCTCTTAATGGCTGAGTCATAACTTCAGTCTCTACTGTTTATGGTTAAGAATGTTCTGCTCAGCCTCACTGCTGAGCTCTGGCTAATATTTAAAGAGCTAACAATAATTCTTCATAAATCATTTCAAAATCTGAAGAGAAAAGTTTTTCTAAATTCATTTTACAAGACTTGTACTGTCCCAATATCCTGGTGACCACAGATGTTTAAAAAAAAACAAACAAACCAAACCAAACCAAAACATCAGCTAACATCCAGTAGATGGAATCTAGGAGCACATTAAAAAGAGTATTCATCACAACCAAGTGGGAGACATCCCAGGGATAAGAGGGTCAACATGCACAAATCTCTGAGCATGACAGTCTCCCACAGTGTGAAGGACAGAAGCTGTATGACCATCTCATTGGATGCACAAAAGAAATCCGATTAAGATTCCAATACCCCTTCATGTCTGGTATTTATCATTTCTCCAACAGGAGATGAGTAAGCCTGTGATAATGGATCAGGTTTTACTCATCACTCTTCATAGGGGCCTTAGGTCTTAGCTAGCAACTACTGTATTCCATCCAGTCTAACAAAGCCTTGGTTGTAAGCAGAAGAATGAACTGGACATCACTATCACCAGTTAAAACAGTACTCAAATCAAAATTAAATATAAGACTTGAAGACAAAAGACCATTAGAAAGAAAATTATAAAGTGTTTTGGGACATCAGAATGAACAAGGATTTCCCGGACAAGACCCCCAATACTACAGGAAGTAACAAAAGAGTGAAGA